CATCGAGCAGAATGTTAACTCCAGAATCCTTGCAAAAGGCATGGAGATCAACGATGTCCTGACAATATTGAGTCTTATGAGCTGTCTAGCAATAACTCTGATGACGAAGAGTACGATATTGGTGTGGATAGTAGGCAGTGGAACGAAATGTGCATCGTAAGTCCACAAGCTGTGTCCTTTACACCAAGGGAATCCACAGGAAATAGACAGGTACCTAGCGATTCAGAAAATGATCAACTGAGGTCTTCAGACAAAGCAGGGAAGCATCCATTTGAACAAACTGCAGGACATACCCATCCTGTAGAAACTCCTGTAGATTCACAACCATTGGTGACAGACGATGCTCCTGTCATCCCCAGAACAATAAGTTTGTCAACAGCAACCTGGAAATTAACTTCTTTGACATTCAAACGACAGCTTTTAAAGTGACACTTCAGATAGACTAAGTGTAGACACAAATGCTCAAGAACTACTTCAACTCTGTAACAAATTATAAGAGGCTCGATATTGAACACCAACAGAGAGTCAACAAAAATTTGGATGCAGAAAATTATGTACATGTATCTTGATGAAAATGCGTCATATGATCAAAATATTACTGAATGTGTGTGCAAGCAAATTATCCGAATCAGAAAATGAAAAAAAAAATAAGAAGAAAATTTTCTTCACCCCGTAAGGGGACTTCGGCCAAGGAGCTTCTGCTGCTTTCGTTGCAGTTTTGTCGACTTCAATGCGGACAAAGCAACCGAACTGATTTGTCGCCTGACCGACTTTTAGGCATTTTAGGCAAGATACACCTCCACTCCTCTCCCATTTCTCTCATCATTGCAGAAGAAACGCGGGACAGCCACTCTGGACAATATGTTCTCAAAGTTGTCTGGCCGAAACTCGCTTGCCGCTACCGACCTCTCGTATAGCTGTAAAAACGTCTCCCTGGCCAATGTCAATTGCGTACCAGTCTACAACAATCCCTCCGTTTCACCTCTGAACTTTTATGCTCACGTATTTTGGTGGTGTGGTCGCCATGTTGGATCATTTATGGCAAAATTTGCATGTTTTGAGGTAATATCTTTCCCATAGGTCTTTGCGCTTTGCGTAACGCGCATCTAACTGTGCGGAGTTTGGTTTTGAGGTTGGCTGGTTCCTGCCTCAAATGTCATGGCGTACCAAGCCACAAGAGGCCGGTAACTAGTAATGAATCCGGCATTCTGATTGGTCCGTAACTTTCTCGTTGCTTGTTCTATTTCCCTTGGTTACCTGACGGCAGCGCTTACGCTCGTGGCCGTTCAGGGGTTTCCTTTTACTTTCGAAAGTTGGGTGAATAAAAAACTTTCTTTCTTTTGTTATCAATTTTCACAGAAACAGCGAGGAATGTCAGAAACATCTCAAATGTGTAAATCTAAGCAGGCAGTATGTTTGAGCATGGCTTTATTGTAGTATTATAGACATGTTTACGCAGAACGGAACTTGGAATGTTTTCAAATTACGTCACTCAGTCACCTGCCTTACCTGCATCCTACCTACCATTCGCAAAGGACGCCGGGAACCAGCGAAGTTTTGAGGTAGTCCAAAACAAGTTTTACGACAAGTCAACGCTTTGCGACAATATGAGTCGGCAAGTTCCGGACAGAAAACCGATCTGTGGAGATTCGTCATAGGAGATGTTTTTTTTTTTTTAGGCGAAAACTAATACGCGCGCGCGGATGTCATCCATAAAATTAAATCGGTGTAGCCTAAATGAAGTAAAAATATCAAAGGAAGAAAAGAGTATAAAAGACGCAATAAGTGAATTACAAAGTCGGACGGTAGATATTGAAAAGTCAAAACAGATGGCGAGTGTAGAAGTATTTAACGCGTTGAAGAAGAGGTGTGCTAATTTGCATAATATAATTCGTAGAAATAACTTGGTGATTTAAAATTTACCTGAAGGTACTGAGCGCGAAGGAGATAGCGGTTATTGCACAGAATTTGTGAAAACGTGTATTTGTGATAACACAGGTTATATAGTTCATCAATATAATCGAAGACAATGAAATATAAAATAAAATAAAATAAATCTCCTCCTGCCATTTCCATGGCAACATCCAACAACATGATTGTCTTTAGTCTCTTCCACTGGTTTGGTACAATATGATCGGTTAGTGCACTGCGCTAGTACTAATTTGATGTGTATTGTCTTTAACCTATGAGTCTCCACTTAGATGTTTCTGTGCGAGCCAAATGCACGGTTTGATATTTCTATCACTGGTAAAAATAATAATAATAAAGGCAATAAATCACCAAATTTTCAAATAGAAATATTGTAAATACGTCTAGCTTGTAGATAAAAGTCTGCTTGACACAATATTTAAAAATAAAATAGGTAGATCTTACAACATCCAGAGTTGTCTCAATAACAACATCTTCGTGGTTTTCATTGTAAATTCTTTATGGTCATGGGAAGTGTTTCTGTCAATATATTGTCAATTAAGCAAACCTTCATCTGTGCCATGATTGCATTACATAAACGTAACATTTTAAATTGCACTTAAAATACTTTATTTTAGTTATTGCAATGACAATAAAGAATGAGAGTAAATATTATATAGTAAATTTTCAAAACATAACAGAATCTTTGGGATGAATCAATTCATTCTGAGACGGAATTAAAAATGTAGACCATATATTTTAATTGAATTGATAGTATTTATGCTTGTTTACAACTTGGCCGTCTTTGTTCTATACTGACTATGGTGAAAGTCAGCTTCATAACTTGGATCGGTGAGAGCTTTCCTGTCTATACTGAACTTCTCAATCGGATACCGAGTTTTTCCATCGATTGCCATTTCACTTAATAACTTCCCAAACAAACACGAGAATCTGAGAAATAGAAGAACAAAAATGAAACAAATCCACAATTATTCTGATATCAATCGTGATTGTAAAAAAAAAAAGATTGAAAAGATCAAAGTTTGTCAGATTAGTTTTATAGGATAAATCTTTTAAGAAAAAACCTGATCGGGTGAACAGTACAATCTGATCTCCTGTGAAATTTCCAAAAAATGATTAATCAGACGGCGCCATAGAGGGCGGTACGAACTAAACTAATGTGTTTTACTATATATAGTTTTACACGATTCTGTATTTAATCATTTATTCTGCACCATGCAATTATGACACCAAGCATTTGGATCACCGATTACTGTTACTAGTTGGGGGGGAGGGGTTAACACACAAAAAAGCCCCAAGATTAGAATACCTAGCAGAAGACTAACAATATGATAATCGGAGCTATTGTAGTCAGTCGCGTTAAGGGAATAGTGTTTCAGCATATTATATAAATATATGGGAATAAAGTATTTATATGAATTGCTGTCATATTTGATTTGAGAGGCGATTCACATTAACTATTAAACTACAGTTTCACAAGCTTTGTCATAAGACTTTCATTGCATTATCCTAAAAACGATTGCATTAAAAGTAAAGTGTGCATCAAAACCCAGACACGTGTATCGTGTTTCATCTGTAAAAGTACACAATGTGTATACGCAAACGTACATAAAGTTCATGCAAGTGTGTTGACACTCCGAACCAATTTGCGTTTGCTAAGGTTGAAGCCTAGTCATAATTTTTGACAAAATTGGTCTTAAATCGCATGACAATGTTCATTAGTTTATTATGTACAATCATGAAGCTAATGTCCCATGGTACAATGAAATAGCATTATTTTACAGTTAAGCTTTTTTGAGAAACGTAACCTAATATTTCTTGAAAATTACTATTTTCGCCACTGTGTCTGCGGAAGTACTATGGGAGATTGCATGATGGGAGAGAAAAGTCTTTTGATCAGTAAAATAATTTTAGAAAAATGAAAACTAAAGTGACTGTGAAATATAGGTTGGGTCTAAATATTAAATATCGTGAAATGTGTATGTAATAATGAAGGAAATTGAACTGGTATGAAAGGGCAGTAAATGTAGCCAGAATGCAAGGTCATAATCCGGGGTCAAAATACGTCACAATACATCCATCAAGGCGGTTGCAAAGTGTCAACAACTATGGATGAGGTAAAAGACTTCGTTTGCAGTTTGCGTGAAGGCTAGTGAGAAAAAATCATGCAAATTCTGTGCTTCCGTAACAGTATTTGCTACTTTTTTGTGCAATGGAAATTAATACAAGAAATGTTGCCAAAAGACATGTCCTTTTAGTAAACAAAACAACCTTGGGACGTTTATCTTGAGAAATTGAGGAGCTTGTATGCCTATTGAAACTATACAAAATTCGACAAATGCAAATCCGTTTCATGTGTTAATGAAGAACATTGCGATGTTCTCATAGAATTGTTAAATCTTGGAATCATTCCCAACTGTCACCAAACTGTACGTTTTGACGACTCGTATGCACTTCTGGGACTTGTAATAATTTTCTGGAAACTGTACAGAAAATCACATATTTTCCTTATCAATTGTTCATAGTTTTTCTAAATTTCAGTTTTAATTGTTCATAATTATTTACAGTAATATAACATATTTTTCCGATAGTGTGCATGACAGCTTTGCCCACACACAATAAGACAGAATGATATGTACGGATATGTGTGAGTACTGTGGAATACTTTATTTTTGCTGGAATTAATTTTCGCTGAAAAGCCATTTTTGGACATTTTTTATGGAATTTATTTTCACTGATTTTTGATGAGTTTAATTTGAAATATAGGAAAAAAAGTATATTCGCTGGATTTTATTTTCACTGAATCATCCCTTCAGCGAAAATAGCGAAAATAAATTCCAAGCGTAAATAAAGTATTCTACAGTATGTTTCATGGATTAATAGGCCACTTCTTTGCTTAAATTCCAACTACATCTATGGAAATATCACTTGCTGTTTATCATCCATATTTTGATATCCCACATTGTGTCGATTGCGTATCTGGAAATTCTAACTACTATTTCGCAGAATTTGCTTTTACCAGTCATTTAAGTCAACTCTCATATTGTCCTTCACAGTGAAGGTTAATGCAGATATATTGTAAATTACACAGAGGTAACATCACAATACATTTCTCTCACATTTCCCTGTATTACAAAACAATCTTTGAGCTGAGGCAGTTATGGTTCTACAACCATCACCAGTTCTCTTGTATAAGATGAAAATTACAAGATACGCCTGGCTGCATGGCTTATTGCTACTCAGCTTGAAGCGGGGGAGTCGTCACCTGCGCATGCGTCTGATGGCCATAGCGTGTCATTGTTTACAAACAAGCGTATACCCATGAGCCTTTGCGTTTTTAAGCTTGTGTTGTTATTGTTGCTTGGGACTCAATTTCCGCGCGTGCACAGGTGACGACCGTCCCGCTTTAAAACTCACGTTGTGGGAATTATACACACGGAAGCCACCAAGAAAAACTTAGTTGCAAAACCTTATATGGGAGATGTATCAGTCTTTTATTATTACCATCTGAACACCTGCCATTGTTATGAAGAGTGTTATGGTTCCTGGCAGATAGGATGCCATGATGAGTGGCATATAACATTAGTAGATGTGTATGTTTTATTTGCTTACTTGTACGCATGCCCAGCACCGATGCAAACAATAACCTGAGGTAAATCTTGCTTTGACAGAGAATCAATGACAAAATTCCTATCCGGTGGAATTGTATACAGACACGTCTTAGTATAAAGTTTTGGACCAATAGCCTATGGGTTGAAAATAATAGTATTCTGTTACATGTTGGTCTCCAGTAGTGTTAAAGTGAAATATTTAATATGCAGAACCCAATACATTCGCGTTATAAGTACATATCCTTTATATGTTGACACGTCCACGAGAAACGATGGTTACATTGGACAATCGTTCATGGGAATATAATTTTTTTAACTGGTTTAGGCAGGCCGTGAATCTACGCTTGTGGGGACAAATATACCATATTACACTAAGTTTACAGTCGACAGCAAAGTGTTTCCGATTGCAATACCCGCAAGTATGTGGTTGAAACAATCTGTGTGCGTTTTGAATACTTTTTTTCTAGAGAGTGCATACAATAAAAATAAAAAAATTCACACTTCATGTGTAAACTAATTGATATTTGGTGTGTACTGCTCTTTAGCATGTAAACAGTTTGTCATGACCTCGACAGAAATTGACATGGCTAACAGTACGAGTCAACATGATATTTAACAATCATGACCCAGCCTGATATACCGTAAAATATTGTGAATGACGTCACAAATCATCACATCATCTAATTAAATATTCATGTGCGCGTATAATGTGACAACAAGACGTAAATGACAGATGAGATCTCACTGTGAACGAGTGTGACGGGAATTATTTAGTCCTTCAAACAGTCACTGTGTTATATCTTCTCCCGTCAATACGTCCACTTTTACCGTGACCTGTACGTGTAACTCTGGTTACCAGTGGTACAATGGCTGGAGAGAATCATGAACACTATTTAATTTACATAAACAAATCTCGTTTTTCTCGTTTTTAATGAGATATAGGCGGCCATTTACGTCTTAGGTCGAACGCGACGGATATGTATCGTATCGTGTCGCATCTGCCGTGGCACTTGATCATCATATTGCTTTTATATAAAGTCAGTTGTATTTGTAGTGCAGACGGGAATACATTAGTTTAATTAGAACCACAGTCACTCTACCACTCTACCTAGTAGAGTGACTGTGTTAGAACAAATCTCACCTTTGGCAAATATCTCTCGAAGAACTTGATACATATTTGCTCTTTGACTGGATCAGGTTCAAATGTCCTGGTTTCCGGGGTAACGATTTCATCACAAGCATCTATTCCGATCTTTGTTCCGGTATTTCCATGTATTGGAAAGCCATAAATATTATATTTGATATCATGATACATCCACACTGGAAAACTGTAATTAATTTAAATTCAATTTTGCAAATCCAATGGTATATGTTTTAATCTGTTGACGATGTATTTCATGTACTGCAAACAAGTAATCAACAATGTAATATTTCTGTCATCACAAAGAACGAAAATATATGATGACTATGGCACATAGCATACGTACTTCTCCTTTGTAAATTCTTTCATGTTTGGTGTAGCAAGATATGTGACTTGTTCCTGAGTAACAGTTAGAGGGACGTGTACACCAACAGAACCCAGTACGTGATTGGACCATGCTCCAGCTGTGACGATGATCCGACGACAACGAAACACGCCTTGATTGGTGTACACCTGAAATTAATTGGCACAATAGATCCGATTTAAGTGTGTGAGCAGAGCTTTAATATTAGTATTAGTATTATTGGCATATTACCTATATCTATGATTACATATTGCTACCTCAAGTTTATATTCTTATTTTCTACTCACCAAGGCGTGCACACCATCTTTATCTTTCTCCAACTTCAGAACTTTACAGTTTTCCCGAATCGTCGCGCCATGTTTTCTAGCTAATTGTATATGAGTAGCGTTAGCCATGGCAGCATCTACCAGACCAGAGTTCTTGTCATACATACCAATTACATGTGGATCAGTTTGAAACTGTGGAAAACGTTTACGAATTTCGTTTCCATTCAGAAGTTCATACCTATATAGTATTCACAGACAAATTAGGGTCATAATCAAAATACATATTGTTTTTAGCATAGTGTCGTATAAATGGGTATACTTGAAAATTGTGGAAATGATATCATGGTGTACGGGCTAAAATCGTCGTACACACGCTGGACTCAACGATGATAATTCAGCGTTACATGTCGTAAATAGGAAGTTATAGGGAAGTTGAGAACTTGTAGCTACACTAATCATTGGGTAGGTGGGTATACAATGAGACGACGTAGACATTACCCGGGATCATTTGACAGATTGGTAAGTAATACCATTTTGGGTGATGGCACAATTGACAAAAAAAGGTAAGACATTGTATGAAAACACGTGTTGGGGAGATGGAAAGACATATACAGGTATATCATTACTAGTCATTAGGTTGATTCGTAAACATACAGCGGGCGCTAACAATATTCGTACGGCGAGTTATCAAACTTTTCAGTGAAGTCCCTACGAACATTTTCATATAGCGAGGGGCTATCATGATTCAATGTTATAAAAACGATTTTACTTCCCCTGGGTTCAATTGATATTCGACTAATTATTACGTCCTATGGCTAAGTTGTTTGTCGTACATATTTCAACTATTTTTGGGTAAGTTGATAGGGTTATTTGAAGAGTGATGGGGACCCGTACGAATCTCCCGTACGGACTATCATAAAGATGACGTCATACTTAGGCATTGATTGTATACATGATATGACGTCCTGCTTACACATGAAGATGATGCCACACTTGATCATTAGATTGTGAATAGACTGGTATGACAACATTTATTTTTATTGGATATATCATTGGATAATATAACGCCATAAGTAGATTTTATGTTATTTTCACACTGTATTGTCATACATGGGGATGACGTCATATGACTGATATACATGAGGATGACGTCATATGACTGATTTACACGAGAAATTATGTCACCACTATCCAAAGACGTATCCACTTGTGTATATATACATAGGGCTGACGTCACTCAGAGGGATAGTAAATCAAAATAAACTATACATCTACTCCGATGATGTCATCACGTCAATTAATATGCAAGAAAGTGATAACATCGAAGTTTATTTTATAATATATTTACTGTCTATCTATTTGATGTTGATACGCCCAATATGCTTGATACAAACACTAGTGAACTCACGGAATATTCTGCTCATCCATTGACTTGGCATGATGTTCAAGTAGATGTTTCCCTTCAGGTTCGTCGTTTCTAGCAAACTTCAGTCCTCCGCATTTATATACTAATTTTATGCCAGACTCTTTTTCAACCTCGTCATACGCCGTGAACGCATGCGGTGCCAACTTTGTGTAACACTCATCATGGTACAGCAGACGTCTGTATAATAAGTTATTGGAATAACATTAATTAAATTTGCATTCCCACCTTGCAAATTTGACCAATATATTCATCTTCAAATGTCGAGATTGGGTGGGTAGGTAATGAGAACTTAAACTAGATTTGTAAACATAGACATGTGTACTCATAGCATGTTCGTTGCATGCAACCAACAAGCTTAGTAATCGTTCCGTAACTGATACAATCGGTGTGGATATTTTTTGTTTCATTTCTTTTCCATCTAACACTTACTATAGTGGTGACCTGCAAACACGTTTTTTTAAGTTTACGATATTATTAAGCAAAATGTTATCATCCATTTTACTTCTTATCGTTCGATACCCATGATGCAATACTAACATTATTCGTGAGTGGTCCTCTGATCCGCCATTACTATGTCCTAGTTGAAATTGTTCCAGTCCAAGAACACCTGTAAGTCAATCACACGCACAATATATGTCAATATATGATTGAACACAGTGTACATACACATTTATTTAAATGCCAACACAAAAAATATGTTAGTTTATCGATGAATGACCTGCATGAGATAAACCACGTGGTCCAAGTGACCATCCTTATCCATTTTGTATCACGTGTCGTAACGAATGAACTATTATAATTTCTGCGTGGTGCTAGGTTAAAATAGTGTACAAATTCTGTCTTTCACGTTGGTTTCAATAATCTTTTAGATACAGATATGTTTTTTTAACATTTTGCAGTCAATTCATCAAGAATAATATCTGAATTTGTTGTTTATATATTGTTATCAAATTTTCTATTATATCATCCCAAGTTTTCTAATGGTCAGCCCCTATCCGGACATTATACAATGTGCATAAATGTTGTAGGTCACAGGCTGTTTATTTGAGGTACAAAAATCTCCCACAGGCCTTTGCGAAACAGATTTACCCTTGTCTGTACTCTCTGGCCGTTTTCCGACAATTAAAACCCTGGACGCTCATATTAAGACAAAAGTTCAATCTAGCTCGCATGCTAGAATGATATATTCGCGAACACATTGATAGCCGATATAATAGAATAATATCTGCATCATTTCTTTTACGTTACACGCTAATTAGACAAACCGTGGCGACAATTACCTCGGCTGGCTCTTTTTGACAACCAATATACAGCGGCGCTACCGATTCCACCGCATCCAACCACGATGTACTCGAAAAAATGGGGCTCCGTTCCAGGCATGCTGTACCCTAATAATATATCGCCAAATGGATGAAGTCGGACACTTAAAATGTCGCCTGACAGTTCATTTCAAGGTCACAATGTGATAAATATCTGTCACCAATAAAATATTATCGGTTTAAGTATGTTTTCGTCATGAGTGGTTGACCCCACAGATGATAATCACTTGAGTGGTGATCTATATTCGGTGCGTGTCAATAGATGACCCACAGCGTGCGGTATTTAGTTGGGACTTGACTGTACCTAGAGTGAGCGCGAAGAGCGGATTTTGAGCAATTGAAAACAGTTTAACTTTGAAAAAAATCTCACACAAACTGATTCAGAACTGAATTTGTTGTAGGCATATTCCAACCACTTCCACTTCTTGCAATGATGTGCAAATATTAGTAATTTTCTGAGTTGGAACGCCTTTTTAACGTATTCTCCATACGTCAACTATCACAGACTGCCAGTCATTTGCTGGAATAATGGGCGAAGTGTTCTGAACTTGAATCAAGTATACTCAAGGGCTCTTGTAATAACGCTGTGGGAACATGCGGCCCTAGATTCAGCGATTTGTCTAAGATGGGGTTTACATATCGTTCACGGTGGTCTTTGATCGACGACCAACACAGTTTTGTCCCTCTGATAAAGGGGGACTTGCACAGAGTAATGCAATGTGTGGAAGGCAGATTCAACTGCGCCAAGCGCTCGCTGCGGTGAGTGTTTTTTTCCGATACATTGGCGTTGGGGGCGCTTCAGCAGTGAAAAATACGCCGCTGTGCTTTCTTATATTTTGTTTCTACTTTCATGAATAGAAAAAACGATCATAGTGATTTATGTTTATGTTGTATGCAGTACTAACATTTAGTCAAATTGTTCCTTCCGTATTATTAATGTAGGTGATTATGTTACATTTAATAAATAAAAATATCAAGCTCTGATCCGACGGAAAAAAAAAAAACACTGATATTTAATTTACATATATATTGTGCGAAATAATCGCCGAAAAGATGAAATACAACCGCTTGCAATTGGTTTGAATCTTGTCAAATCGGCGAGACAGGGTTCGGGATTACTAGTATATGTTTGAGTAAAGAGCAAACAAACAACCAACCCATTAACTGGTTGTTCAAAATGGCGGCGCCCATAATTGTAATTGGACTCTTGGCTGTCGGAGTTCGTTTTCTACTGCTGCGATCGTCTGTTGCTGAGTGGTTGTCGAATCGAGTAGAGATAGTAACACCAATTACATCCTGGGACGGAGGTATGACAATTTACTGGAGAAATAGTTAGGCTAGTTATTTTCATGAACTTCCACCGGAGCCACAGAACATTGGCCCCGGATCCACGGCTCCGTAAAAGTGGGCGAATGTACATTCGGTTTTTGCTGCCAATTCGAACACCGCCATGGATGCGCCGCAAATTGATGCGCACTGTTTTGGATCAAACTGATGAACCATAGACAAACTAGTAACTACCAAATCCTACATTTATCCGTTTACACCTCAATGTGGCGCAATTTGATTAAATTGTTGTGTCCAGGGAAAATTGAAGTACATGTACTGTTATTGCTGGTGTACACACGCACATTCTGCGTATTCTATTTTACGCGTCCACCCTGTTTTGTAGGATCCATGGCCGTGTTTGAGTGGGCAGCTGATGGCTGAATGAAAAAATACCCACTTTGTCCACGCTGTGGGTTCAGGGTCAACTACAGATTTGGTCTCTCATCATAGGACAATCTTAATCACCATTGTCGTTGGGTAACTACCCAAACCACATACTATTGCTTGACATTCCGGTCATATTCCCTTTTGGCCCCAGTTAATAAAGAACATTATGGCATTGGTTGTTTGGTATAAATACCCGTAATGTTTAAAGAAGTGTTTATATCAATTATTTGTAATAGAAATGTACAACGAAAGTAGGACATAGATACTTGTTTGTAAAATGTATGAGGCAAATTACACTTATAATATATTATAAAAACACTTATATTTTAGCATAATGGAAGGACAGTGCAAACACCCAGGAAATTGGTGATTCATCCAGCACCCACACCCTGGAAACCAATTTACTGCTTCAAAATTTAATGTCCTGCAAACACATAAAAGAGAATTTGTTAAGAGATAACTGTTTTTATTGGCATCTTGAATTGTTCATACTTTCACAAATTACTGCAAACACTAACATAAATTAATAAATTATTATTAACATAACAATGTAGGTTATTTCTTGAGAGCTATTGGGTCACAAGCTGAAACTGCATTCAATATTATAACAGGAGGACATGCGTGTTGACTCGTACGCTATAGCAGTAAAATAGGGATTTCTGGTTTTGATTTTAATAATTACTGGTAGCACCCAGGTATGTGCAGACACTGGGGATGACCAGAAACGAATATGTATACTGTAATGAACACATTTATAATGAATTTCCCTTTGTAATGACATTCCACTCATAATAAACCCAATTTTCAAACTAATTGAATCATTAAAACAAGATTACAGTGCATTGCACAACTTTAAAAGCATTGTTCTCTTGAATTCAGTGAAGTGTCTTGTGGTGATAACTAGCATTACTAAAGGTATCACTAGTATGCATGTGACGTCAATGGGGCTCAAAACATTCAGTCTGGCAATATCAGCTTGTGTACTCAATGTGTTTTCACTGATTAGCGTGAAAGTGTTTACTTTGTACACCAAGATGGCCACCAATTAAATTCTTTTTCATAGCAACATCATATCACATCATGCATACAAAGAATAACCAAGGAAAATGTAGAACGAATGCAGACGAACAGTTTTTCAATTTACTAATAATAAAACTGGTGTAGACATAGATCAGTGATGTGCTTGACCTGCGAATGTCAAGGTTTTTTGGCTTACACATGAATTGATGATTTCAAGATGTACAGGTAGTAACGAAGTGGTGTTGCCCAAAATGATGAATACCGATATTAGATGTTTTTTGGTTTTTTTTACAGTCACTGAAGGTCTTTCATTATTTGAAAATGGTATTTCACCGTACTCTGGGGATGTGTTTCATGAGGTAAGTTGGCTACATGTATATTACACCAATGTCTTTGTACTCATAGATGTAGGTGTCAAAGTAGAGATGGCAATCACTGAATGTTATAAATACAATGTAACAAATGTTATGTATAGTAACAGGTAGTAACTGACTAGGGAAAGCAGCAGTGCTGTTTATTAACTAACTGAAAATAAAACTGATGATATCATAGAACATTGCAGCTTGTGATATGTAGATGTCTAAACTTGAGCATGTTTCAAGATGGCATCACTCATTAATGATTAGTTGCCACTTCTAAAAATTGCTCAATAAGTTAGGAGCTATAAAACTTGACGAATTCTTTACACATAAAGATTGCCTTGATATTGATGTACATGTCTGAGTATGTCTTGATGTTGATAAACCATTACGCTTTTGCATAACATGATGGCATGGAATACAATATATCATTAAGTTTACTTTCATTGGCTATACTATGCACTTTACTATGAATCAACCATCTTGTTTTGGGGGTTTCTGTGAATAATAATGATCAAAAAAATGTTTGATGTTAGAGTAATTTTTATCTGTTTGTCATTAAACTTTTAATATGGATAACAATTAGAACAACACATCATCACAGTATATTTTTGTGGTGTCTGGTGCTTTAGACCACATTTGATCAAAGACACAAGAAAAAAGGGACAAGCAACTCAGTCTTTTCTACGATGTAACGTCTGTTGGGATCCGTTTTAATCAATCGTTAATCCAATTAGATTAAATTACGTCTTATCTTGAATTGTTTATTTGCAACGAAACCTCCTGATTTACATTAATGAGTGTAATTTGAGAATATGCAAATTAGGCCACAAACTGCGCTACGAGCTACGTTAACTAAAAGATTAGTAATTAGGTTTTCAAAAAGTTTAGTTTACATTTTTTTGTCAACTCAGTGAAACTAAGAATCACAATTTTTGCTTGTTGTATTTTGCATAAAATAACAAACATCTGTGAACTTTTTGAGAAAAAGTAACAGAAACGTTAATTAAAAGACGGCGCACTACCAACTAGCCCAGCGGGTATCACATACACGCATAGAGGCTCTCATTAGACCCTCACATACGAAAGCCTTATCTGAGCGGGCTGCCAACATCCTGACCAGGACGAACAGGGATTCCACCAACATGGCCTACATTTCTAGGTTGTAGCGGAAGGGAGATTGATCCATACCATCCCTCTATTGGCCAGGTAGCAGGCTCCTCCGTCCACTTGTTTGATGAAGTGGGTTTGTCCAACGCAGCGATCGTTGGCTACAGGTCGGCCTTGTCCCCCCACCATTGAGAACGTACGGGAACAAGACTAGCCGATTGTCCTATTATTATGAGACTATTTACTGCTTTCCAGATGCTGAGACCCCATACAAGGGAACCGCCCAACTGGGACTTATCGGTTGTGTTGTCCGCTCTAAGCAACAAGACGCCCTTTTGAGCCTCTCCGATCAGCACCACTCAGATTTTTGACGTGGAAAATAGTCTTCCTACTGGCCCTCGCCTCAGGTAGGCATCAGCCAGAGCTGGGGGCATTGTTCTTCTTGGATGATGTATCGCCGTTATGGACAATCAAGTTGTGCTAAAGACACGAATTGAGTTTCTCTCCACGAACCAAAATCCCAGGACACGATCCTCACCCGATTGTCATCCCCTGACTGTCAAATTTTGTCGGCTGGGAGGTCAGGATGAATTGCTTCTCTGCCCGGTTCAAGCACGGAGTTGCTACCAAACCGTAGTAAGGATTCAGGACGGGGTGCCAGGCACATGTCTTTGTGTTACAGCCCAGGCTGGCAGGATAGGCCGGCCTCCCCAACTTCTATAAGCAGGTGGTTTACTGCGACTGTATTAGAGATCTATAATACTTTAACTTCCTCAACACAGAGCTTGCAGAGACACAAAGTACAAGCACATGAGGTCTGTGTGATTGCCAACTCACTAGTGCTACCGTCAGCCCCCCCCCCCCCTCGAGCACACACGGAGGGCAGGCTTCTGGAGAACGCAGAACTTCTTTATCAACTACCAACTAAGAGACACCGAATCCATTGAGGAGAGTCTCTTTAGGTTGGGTCCCGTCTTAGCGGGTCAGACTTGGTTTGCTGACCCAGCCCAAACAGTCTCGGCATTTTTTGCGGACAGATTTCTCTACCATCAGCTCTCCCTGGAAGCTCCCAGGTCCCACTTTTCGGCCTATGCCCTCACTGTTTCGGTCTTTACTTCGAAAGCTTACTACCCCCAGAATTGGGTTGGGGTCTAGCTTTCTCGGGCACACCGAATCCTGTCACGTAGCAGCATTTTGGCTTCTTGCTCCGGGGACAGCACAGGCAAGGTAAGACACCACCCTTTTTGCGTCTTAACTAAGGTGTTGAGTGATTATTGTTGAGTGTTTCATCCTGGACTTGGAGAAGACTTTCATCATTTTTCTGTTTGCTCGGAAAACCCGCCACCTATTGGCGTCTGACTCTGCCTACAGTTCAAAATAGTCATTTTGACTGACTGGAGTCTATGGTGGGTAATTGAACATAGTGAATTTAGGCAGAGAGTTCTCCAAATCCGCCTATTCACATAGTTCATACCCACCATAAACTCCGGGTCCCCCCCCAACCACCCCACTCTTTCCGTAGCATTGGTCTAAGTCTTCGAGGCGGAGAGAAAGGAACCAGAGTGATTAGCCAGCCTCGGCCACATGGTTTGTGACATAAGGGAAAAGAATCTTGGGGTCTTGGGGCTTCCCCTGACCTAGATTCTATATCCGTCATTGGCAGAATCACTGATTAATGCCTACAGTTCAAAATAGTCATTTTGACTGAGCGGAGTCTATGGTGGGTATGAACTATGTGAATAGGCAGGTTCAGAGAACCCTCTGCCTAAATTTGGCTGAAAAAGGGTCCCACAAAAAACATAGACAAAGTCAATTGCTACCTTGGCCACTCATTCATTCATGACGTAGAAAGAAAATGTTATCATGTGACGATGCGGGATGCCAAAAAATCTGTTTGCACAGCGGACCATTTCCCAAAAAAGACGTTGCACGGAACTTTCGTTACTTACCTTACATGTTTGCTGGAGGTGTATGTTCCTTGTTTTCTAGTGTCTTTGATTTGCAAGGCAAAAAAAAGATATGTTTCTGGTCCTAAAATGTAGAAAGAAATGGTACATTTAGGTGCACCCCCACCCCTGCAGCACAAAAAGTTGCAAATTAACATTAACTTTTAGAAAAACAATTTTTTTTGAGCCTCTGAATTGAGTGTTTTTTACATGTTTAACTAACTACCGTTTTCAAATTTGAATCAAAAGATCTCAATTTGATAATCTTCCCGTAATCTAGACATAATCTTTACATTTGCAATAAAGTAATCTATGACTTTGTTTTATTTTATAGACACCACTGGCTCTTCTGATGTTCCACTATATGAAAAACATTTCTGCTGAATATGTGTCTGTTGTTTTATCATCGTTGATTTATACATTGCATGGTTATTACGATGCATTGCTTCATC